TTTATTACTGTTTGAAACACATCTCCTCTCATAGGTTGTTCATCCCATTTTGGACTCTCGCGTATTTATTCGTCCTTACCTCTGCCTGATGACTGTTTTATAACTTGATAAAGACCTTTAAATATTTGCACGGGCTTGCGCGATGAACGCTGTCCCGGATTTAATATTGGAAAGATTGGCGTCAGGAGGGGCTAAACAAGCAAACCGAAATTCTTGCTTCTAATGAAGACGGCACGATCATAAGATAGGAAATCCTCCAGGCCGGGAATGTTTGTGCAAAGTGATTAAATTATTTACATCTAATTTGACATGCACTATAAATCTGGTACTTTCTCTTAGAAGCAGCATGTTAGTGCACATGAATCCTCCCAGCGTCTTGCCTTCTAATCGCGTGGAAGGAAAATTGAAATATCCCGGGCATGATCTGTGCAGAAGCCTAGGTTCAATGGTCGCCTACTATTTCTACAAACTCTCTGGCAAAATCACTACCATATAGCCTGGTGTCCTTTATCCAAGAAGCGAGGTTTTGATAGAATTTCGTTGCTCAGCCACTATGTTTTCGTAGTGGCGCGAAGGAACAAAAAAAGAGAAAGAGAGAGGAAAGCAACGGTTTTTGCAGGCTGATATTTTTTTTTGCAATTGCAATATTTTGTTGTGTTTAGGTATGCTTTTGTGGTGTAAACAATCTTACGCACTTCCCACAAATATTTCATTGTCAACGACAGTTGTAAAGTATTACGCAGTGCCTCGGGTGCTTTGACCTTACGCACTAGAGCGTCACAGGAGCGAGTATTTCTGCAAAATAAATACGAGGAGCTATTTCTCCCTTTGAATCCATCACTTTTGTGGAATCACGACGAACACACTTTCACCATGAAATCGTAACAAATAATGATTGATGATGAAATTGATTGGGTCCCAACAGTGGAGCCACATTATTTAGGTTGCAAATAAACTGGGCGTCAATCATGCGATGTGTTTACTTCCACGTTTGAATGTGTTGAGAATGAGTAGCCAAAAAACGCAGTCTGCAGGCTGCTTCCTGGAGTGGCCTGATATCTCCAAAACTCGGGAAGGGGGGGGGGGGGGCGAGAGAGAGAAAGGGGTGGATGTTGTGGGAAGGTGATAATATTTATTCTCACTTAGGAGAGTCGCTGGTCGTTAAAAAGTCGACTCGCCCATAACGGGAAAGCCTGTAGGGCCACATGTATAGTAACCATGAGTAAAATGTGGTATACAGCTATGTTACTGAGAAGTTGCAATAGAGCAAACGATGGGGCATTGTGGAGGCAAGTGAAGCAAAGACCTATCTTATGATCGTGCCGTCTTCATTAGAAGCAAGAATTTCGGTTTGCTTGTTTAGCCCCTCCTGACGCCAATCTTTCCAATATTAAATCCGGGACAGCGTTCATCGCGCAAGCCCGTGCAAATATTTAAAGGTCTTTATCAAGTTATAAAACAGTCATCAGGCAGAGGTAAGGACGAATAAATACGCGAGAGAGTCCAAAATGGGATGAACAACCTATGAGAGGAGATGTGTTTCAAACAGTAATAAAGAGATTAGCGAAAGCCACTTGATTTATAAGTTTGGGAAATAAATGTATTATCGATGACCTGAACCTTTTATTGCGCAAGCCAATCCTTGTGCAGACACGGGAACGGTTCCATCAGCCGCGCGATGCCAGCGAGCGGCTGCTGGTACGAACCCAGCATACCGCCACGACCCCTCGATCTCCACCGACCGAGCGGCCTCGGACCTGCAGCTCATGAGAGGAAGCGTTCGGTCGTGCTGGCTTCCTCAATCTCGCGGATTGAGCGTGCCCGCGTCGACGAGGGAAGACACCTGGACGTCTCAAGGTCGTTGTGGCGCTCGCGGCTAGCTGCTCATTTCGCGCTTTTTGAGGATTATCCCCACAGAAAAAGTCGACACAAAAGAAGCCCCTGCCGTCACATAATTTTTGGGAGAGGGTGACAAGAGGAGGGCGCGAGGGGCATTTTCCTACCTTGGGGATTATGGTTTCGTTGGTCATCTTTAAAGCCTGGTGGGCAAGGAATCAACGGCTGCTTTTTCTTCGCTCAGGGGCCGAAAGCGGAGAGAAAGGAGTCGTCAATCTGTGCCTGTCAGGTGAAACATTAGCAATGAGTAGACACGACACAACTATCCTTCTAGTTTAGAAAATAAAATAATTTCCTTTTTAACTTCATCAGCATCCGCACGAACCGCAAAATGACTTGCCTGTGCCGAGTGACATGCTGCATCCATCAATATGTCACCGTACTTTTTTTGGCATATTTTTGATTCCAAGTAGCCAGTGGTTGTTCGAAACGATACCTCTCTTTTTTTCTGTCCTTTCTTACCGTTGGTCCTTTTCTTTTAAAATGCCAGTAGTGACCTCGCTCTATCGATATCGTATTTCTTGAATAGAAGTCTCAGTCAGGCGATACCAATGCTGTTAGGCATAAATGAAGTATCAAAGTGAGGAGAGCTGATATCGAAACAAAGGGTGCAACAACCCTGCCATGCAGTAGCGGCACGTAGGATTATCACACCATATCCGCTTTTTGCATTACAGCCGAAAAGAAGAATCAGTGGAAGCAGCTGTGGCAAACCGCAACGCATTTTTAGCTGTAAACAGTGACTGTATATGCAAGTCAAGAATGCACATGCGTAGAACCCCCTGCGAAAATCACTCCCGACTAGCAATTAGGCTGGGGGGGGGGGAGCTCTATCCCGAAAGAGCACCAAAATTCAAGATGGCAACGACAAAATTTTTCTACCAGAAAAAGAAAAAAAAAAAAAAAGCGCAGTGTACACGGATTTAGTATTTTATTTATCTCTGAGAACATAGACTTTATTAGGCCAAAGATTTGTCACTGCTATGTTAATCACTTTCAAAACCACCAAAAGACTCCTCAGAGTCTGTCACAAGAAAAAGTTTGCAGCATTCCGCAGACTATGTGCCGTTGGCTATTTTGACAACCTCTTCAGAAAGAAGCCGGTTGCCAATGGCTCATTCTGTACTTCTTTCGCGCTCCAGGTATGAGTGCATCATCCACGTTTTCACTGAACACCGGCGTGCCGTTACTTAGCTTTCGTCGAAGTTTGACTTTCTTGTAGTTTGGCTGTAGCAAATTTTCAAAATTCTTGTCCCATTCCCGTATCCGGTAGAGCCTGATGTGTCGAGACGTCAGGTGTATGTTTTTCCCGTTTTCACAATGCCATTGGACGACCTCAATTTTCTTTGCCGCTGTGAAAGAATGCATAGCCGACCTGACAACCCCAAAACAAAGCGACAGTGGTGCGTGGCGACCGGGCAGATAGGGCTGCAAAGTAGGATTGGATTGGATTCTTGGACTGAATTTCGCAGGCCAGTGTTGCCTGGGCACAATCAGGCTGGTACGTGATACGGGTGTGGTGCGGGGAGGGGGGCGCTTTCCCGGAACAGCGAGGAAATGTGAAATTGGCAGTGAAGTTGGGGGGGACACTTCCTCAGAATTTCACGGTAAGCTTAAATTGTATCTTCATATTTTCTAATCTCTTTTATGCCTAAAAATAGTGCAACCAAATACTTCTCTAGGGTGCTGTGGGAGGAGGGTGAATACACCTTACTGGGCACTGTAATGCAGTGGCTTTGGCACTGACAGGTTTGACGTCGTTTGTGTGGCTGGATTCGCCGAAGCCTGGGGTTTCCACCTTAAAATGGCTGAGGTGGCTGATGTCACCTATCATAGTGGAATACCAGGCAATCGGGTGTTTTTTGTTGCCCATGGAGCTTGTTTTTGAAACTTAAAACAACATACAATGGTTCATCTGGTGAATCAATTAAAATTGTGGCCACCCTCTGTATTGCAAAAAATGACCAGAGTTGATTTCATCTCATCAAATTGACGAGTTGTGTGACATGTGGACAAGTAAAGGAGAAAGACATTAGCTGGCTCAGAGCGTGTGAAAGGGTAGCACTCGATTGCCAGGCCTGCTCAGATAAACATGCATTTTTTTTTTGTCAAGCCTGTCTTGTCCTTGGAGGTGAGCTGTATGCACCGATTCTTACTGACGTCTGTGCAATGTGCGCCGTCAGTAATGTACCACTTGCGCATTGCAGAAGAACACTGGCTGGTGGTAATGTTGGTGTGGGAGTCTGTGTGTCGCACCATCAGGAGAGAATTTGGCACGCTAGATAAACTGTAATAGAAGCGAGTGAAGTAGGCTGTACATTTGCTCTAGAAACATGTTTAGTGCAATATTCATTCTCACAAAAAATGTTACCTTCGTCTACCAGTTTCATATTTGAGTCATTTTCATTGCAACAAGTGTACGGCTGTTCTCTTTAGACTTCATACCAATTGTCATTACGACAAGCAAACAAAGCAATGCATTATCTTTTTATGTTTATTTTTTTTGTTACTATGAGAATTTACGAAATAGCTAACTTATTGCAAATGTTTTCAGTCATCTTAAACACTACATTTGCTTACCACTTTTGAGTTTAATGACGAAAACACCATTTTTATTGCCCGGTTGTGGTATGTTTATGCATGTTCTGTACAGTTGTGCACTGTATCGTTTTCACTGGATATATCTGAAAATGTTTATGCAAAGTAGTCATAATGAACAGTGTATAGGGTGTTTTCACTGACGTGATTTCGTCCACCATTTTGTTGTTGCGATCTGTGTGGAATGTGCCAAACTCGAGCATTTCAAGGATTTACATGCCTTCTCAAATGCGTAGAGCACCGCTGACATCATTTCAACCGGTTACGATGTAATCCTTCAATGTAGTAAATTTGTTTCAAAAACCAAACTAACAACAAAATGGCGGATTGACGTCATGCGCAAACAACCTATAGTAGAGTGCCTTGAATGCATTTGTGACTGCTGTCTTTGGCCATCCTATGCTGCTTATGCATTTAAGGTAGCCCCAAAATGGTGACAAATTATGTCGCAGGAGCTGGATGCTGTGTTATGTCGCAATCCTAATGGTTGGCCCTATGTGTTCCAGCGAATAATAGGAAACACAAGTGTCGCTCTTGTAGCGTCCCAACTCCTGGCTGCTGAATCTTCCATGGACTATCAAGCTGGAGACGAGCTACAGCACAACAGGGGCCTACCGCACCCGCCTTCTGCTGCTCTACCACCACCAGGATCGTGGCATGGAACAGCATGACACTTCTATGACGTTGTCAGGCAAAGATAGAGGGAACTAAAATAAAGTGACGATGAGCATAGCACTCGGGAACATGTTCCAGGCACCATTAGAATGTGCTAGTAGAGGCCCATTGATGTAGCCCATTAGAATGTCCCAGTAAGGGCAAATACATCAGTAGGCCGATATTGGACCAATACACCAACATGCCTCTACTGAACCAAACACACAAATAGGCCTCTAATAAACCAATACACCAGTAGTCCTCTATTTGACCAATACACCAATGGGCCTCTATCGGTACTATAGGACCCACCTACTTTTTAAAATAGGAATCTACTGGTCTATCAGTTTACTGGTTTATTATTGTAATTTTTGCTGGGGATGTGATAGGACAACATCTTTTATTGCATATGTTCTAATGTTAGCTGCATATGTTATGAGCCTTACATATTGTTTACAGGTGTACCTTGAAAATATTGAGGTCAGTGCCATTTCTAACTCCAAACCCTCGATTAAGTAATCTTGTTCTTTATTTCGAGCAAAAATAAATTATTAAATTTAGTTCAGTTGTACCACAGCTGCTGCCCTTGCCAGGGAGAATTTATTTGAGGAAGTATAATATCTGTAGTAGGGCCTCTCACCCTTGACATTTAGGCTGCTGCAAAACATGGCACCAGCTGTTTTGTGTGTTTTCTTTTTGAGGAACGTCTTTCCTGTAAAATCCACATTCAGGATCATTATCACAGCGAAATCTCTGGAGTGCTGGACACAATTTATGATACTTGGCATGGCACGGGTATAGTATTATATCAGTGCCCGGCGTCACAATTTTCTAGCACCATGTTTAATGCACACCTTTAATGCATACCCTGATGATGGCCTTAAGACAAAGTACATTGGATAGTAATCACCCTACGTAAACGACATTTACATGCTGGTCCACGTCTTTCATCAGCCTGTATACGTAAATATCCCCATTCGATAATAATAAACCTACGTGAAAAACGTTTACACGCTGGTACACATCTTTCATGAGCATTTATGTAAATATTCCACAGTGAGCATTAAAAATTGGCTGTATTTTCACATATGTTAGGAAATCTTGGACTATGTGAACACATGTAAAAAAAAAGTTCAGATGCATGTATGCCCTCTGCTATTACAACTTATTTTCATCACACTTCCGGCGCACCAAGGAAGCAATAGACAATGTGTTTGATTTTACTTCAAACAGACCTGTTTAGCTGTGCAATGTACACTAATTCGGTTTGTACAGGCGAGTTATATGGCTAGTGGGACATAATTAGCATGCCGTGATTTCGGATAAAACCGAAAAACTCAAACAAACATTTGCCAATAAAATTTTATAAAATTAGATTTATCCGATAAACTCACATTTTTGATGTCCCAGTGTAAAAAAGGAAAGGAAAAGAAAAAAACAAATGCGTAAGCATGCCTTTCCTTTATCTGCTGAAAAAAGAAGTTGTCTTTCTTGGTGGCTGCATGCGATGAGTGATAGGAACCTTTATCTTGTTGCATGGCGGTGTATATATCTGATGGGGATCGACAGTTTGCCGACGTTTGGTGTTATATTAAATCGGTTGAAACTTGGCGCTTGTCCTTGTCGTACGTGTCTTTTTTCGTCCTGTTTCAGTTCACGCCTTTTAACGTTTTAATCTGTATTCTGTAACTGAGTTTTGTCACAACACAAGGTCACTGTTCCCAGGAAGAGGTCATTCCTGTTTTTTTTCGAATCTCTGATAGTTGACAAAAGACGTTTTATTGTTTATCTTGTCTAGGTTTGTTGAGGACAACTGGTTATTATACCTCTGGGTCACGACAAAAGCCACTGTTCCCGTTTGCAGTTTGAGCCATACTCTTTGTGCTCCTTAGTCGGGGGGGAAGGTTTTGGTTTTTATAGAAGTAAAAAGTATGAACCAGTAGATTTTATGGGACAGTGTGGATGTGTCTGGGATGGGGGGGGGGGGGGGAAGGGAGCTGTCACTATCAGTACTGCACTTCATGCAGCCACAGGGTGAAATGGATGGGAAATGACTACATCTGGGTCTCTAGTGATTTTAGAGTATCAATGCCTGTTCCAGCAACACTTCTGTGTAACTTTTGTCATGAGAGAGTTGCGGTGTTAACAGTGGCAAAGACGCGAATGCCAAACCCAGCCGAATAAATATCATTTGATACAGGCACGTTCTTTTGAATTTAGCAGACATTTATGCCCAAATGGCATTTATTTTTATTTTCAATTTTCCAAAATTGGGATTACAGTGAAATTAAACTTTGATTTTCATGCACTGTAAAAGAATGGGTGTTAAATAGTAAAGTGGTAAATATAGACCGACACGCTGTTTACAAACAAGCACGTGTGTTCCCCCACACCAGGTGTGGGTACTGCGCGTGCACAGAAACCAAATTTGCGTGAGGTGAAAAGTCTGCGCATGCGCAGTGCTGTCAACAGCGCCATTGCAGCTGCGTGACTTCAGGGCCGCATGTGGGTCTATATGTTCTTTTTCCAACTTTCCAAGTGTTGGTCCTGGAGAACCAGGCCAACATCATCACGCAGCTTACCGAGCTAAGGAAGATTGTCGTGGCTACCTCAGCCACGAAGGTAGCAGTTGCGCTGCCTCCAGACGCCCCCACGCTCCCTGCAAGCACGTACGACGGCCTCAAGGAGGTTAACGCTTACGCTGCCTCGCAAGACAAGCTGGATGTTCTGGTGAGATTTTATGACAATTTCGGTGTATAGTTGCCATATTCAATGCGTAAATCATATTTGCACCAATTTCATGGTTCCCCGCCATCCTGGCAACTTAACTTTATCAGGTGCATATTTGTCCTGTGAATGACAGCATGTGTGTTTGTGATGAAACCCCATGGTTTGACAGAAGGGCAATGAGCCAGATTTTGTGCATGTTTCTATCTGTTCGTGAATTCATAAAAAAAGCCTCAGTGCGGGAAAAAAAAAATTGTTGTGCCCATTGTAATTTGTATTTTGGAATTGCAGTGGCTAAAATGTGCTTCAATTACAACTACAATTTAATTTTTATTCAGAAGTAATGAACCACAATAACGGATGTTTCAGGAAAGCAGTGAAGTAATGTTTTTTTTTATTATTGTGAATTTTTTTACGAGCTGATGTTAGCGGCTGTCATCAGCTCATTGCGAAAAATTTATTGCGCCAATGGAAGAGCCCACTGTAATGAGACATGACTAAGACCTTTATGGTGATATCTTTCTGAATAATAGTGTGATATGGCTTTTGCTCTATTTAAACCAATCTGCGACATAAAAGGCAGGCAACCAAGATGGAACAAGCAAACTGCTGGGTGGCTTTGCAATGACTAAAAGCTATTTACTGTAAATGACTTAATTTCCACAAGCACCTAATTTTTACAACTTGCATAAATTAAAAAAAAATAGACCCTGCAAACATATTTTCCTGTGGTAACAAATCGATCCGTGCACTCATGCTTGTAGGTGATGGGCTGTGCCGTGCTTTTAGAAAGCAAAAAAGTTGTCGGGTATCAGTGTAATTGGTTGAGTTTTGAGTTTGACCAGATTCAACTTTTTCTAGCCTCTTGCGAAAAGTTTGACAAAGGTTCGATTCAGGTTTGACTGATATGCGCATGCGCGACAGGCTGGAACTCTACTTATGATTTCCGGTTGCTGGGCAATTCCATTCTCTTGAATAACGGTGTGCCACACCTGCATGAACTCGTCGTGGCTTGTAGACCACGTCAAATGCCAACGATAATATCGCCATCCATGATGCAGTGTCGCTCAATGAAGTCATCAAAAAGGGAACGACGCATAGCCAATAGTTTGGACAAAGTTGACACCGTCACAGGCACCAGGATGCATGATTTGACATGTGCAGAAGCATCATGTTCGATGGCCTTCAGCAGTTTGTTTACGACCAAGACAGCGTTGCTCACTTCTAGAGAGCGATGCCTCCTAAAGGAAATTATATTTAATTGCGAACCAGCGCACAGCTAGGCAGTTGCTCAAAAATCCAAACACACAAAATAATGCACTCACACAGTGCTGTGTCAGTGTGTTTTCTGTGTGTTTGGATTTCTGAGTAATTGTCTGCCTGTGTGCTGGTTTGCAATTATGCCTTATCAACTCACCCAATCTGCAGTATTAACAGGAAATTACTGATCACTTTCCTGAAAATGAGGTTAAGTGGAAATGAAATTTCATCAGCACCTCTACTGCATGCACCACATTTTCATGTACTTTTTATTTATTTCAGGGCTTTGTTTTCCTTTTCACCTGGCAGGTTATTAGCTTACAAGTAAATATAGAAGTTGGACACATTTTTGTCATGTGTAGTCGAGGCCCAGAATTGTCATGCTTATATTTTATTATATGACTCTTGGGTTGTATAACGTTTTTGCGCAGCCCCCTGAAAGTTATATAACGAGGGTTCCAATGTATACAATATTGTTTCTCTTAGAATACACTTCAAAAAAGCAAACAGTGGATACCTCCTCAACTTGGAGGCAGATCAAGTACCAGAAAATACCAAGGGAGCACCCACCTTACTTTCACTGAGAACGGAGTTAATCTAAACATGCATGCTTGTCCACTCAAATCAGGCGCTTAACATAGAATTTGCAGATTTCCCAAGTTTGGGAAATGTTAATAGTGGGCACTTCCGCAGTATTTTACGGTAGTGCATTTCACCATGGGAAATGTACAGATTGCAAGATAAGTTTATTTATCTGATCATTAACTGAGGGCAATATTCTTGGGAAGTTCCGGTTATTAGAGGTCAAATCTCATAACTTTATACAGTGGAACTTTGAATATGCGACTTTCAGGGGACCGCGCAAAAGCGTCATATGATATGCGAGTCATATAATTAAAAAAATGATTACGACTTTGGGGCTTGGCCTCGCATGATAAAAATATGTGTAACTCCTTTCGTTACTTCTATGCTAATAACTTGCTGGGCGAAAAGAGAGCAAAGCTTTTAAATAAATGCAAATGCAATGAAACTGTAGCGCGATAAAGGCGCCAGTACAGATGTGTTTTCACTTCACGTGGTTTTTAGAAAAT